AATAAGAGACTTTTCCTATTCAGATGAACCACATGTACATGTGTATGCAGTCTACTGAATCTTTTCATTTATCGTTACTTTCGATTGAAATAACACTCGTACAAGTCACACTTTTTGTGGAAGGCGGACATACGTATTCACGGATGAATGACAATAGTCAATGGTGTCCGGAAATACGTGAAGTGTTCGCGATCAGAACGATATCCCAGGAGAGCCACTATATCTGCCATTCATTCGCCAATGTCAAGCCCCAGGGCAAGCTGATACGCTATATGTCGACAAAAAATAAGCGCGTTTCTTTATTTGCGGCCAGCACGGTTCAATATTGCAGTTGGGTGGCAAGCAGTCGTGATCTGAGCGTGAAACTAATGCAGCAAAGATGTGGAAGAAAGATTGTTTGTTTATTGTTGGATGTTGATGAAATAATGCTAATAACTTTAAACATGTGCAGGTCTCTATAGCATTGTCGACTAAACCAATCATTTATTCTCCGGTTCAGTAAATCCTTTATGGTTTTCGGATAACAAGGGGAACTTTGGAAACAAGTTACTGATGTAAAGCACTAATTTACAACTTGTAACCATGGCACTGATCAAATTGAATCGATCATGCAAACACTTCCATTCCTAGCAAGACTATGGTAAATAGTGCCGTCGTGTCGAAATGTCTTCTCCATTCCTGGCACCGTCACGTAGCTCATTTTGTGGCATTTAGAGAACATTATGCGACAGCAACAATGATAAAAACCCTGTCATTGTAGAGGAATCTGTCAACCTCAGCGATTTCATCAAGAAATCATGGAACACAATATTTTTTCTTTCAATGCAGTAGCTATATTTTCTGTGGATTTTGTTTGTATAAAAAGCTTATTTCAAGTGGATACACAAATTTTACTTTATCTAACGCTAGTCAACAGTGAATTGCATACTATTAGTATTTTGCACAATTAAATATTTCAGGAACACTAGCCAAATATATTGACATATGACATTTTGAGGTCAGTTTTCACCCCCAATTTGAAATTATGACGTGTGCTATGACGTCACGTGTAATGACCAACTGTAACCCTAAAAATACCACCACACGTGGTAATAATATACATGTTTTCTCATTATTCAAATACAAATATTGCAGTGTTCAAAAACTGTAGACGTCGATTACACATACAGCATATTGTGCCCGATTAGCTGTAACGACTGTGTGTTACTTTCGATTGATTTGGTCACGTGTCATCGTGTCACTTCTCTGTTTTAAGCGACATTGTAGTAATACTTCTCAAGTCTATAATAATTGCGTTGCGTTGCGTTGCAGTAATGATAAATTATCTGCGTTTCGTAGATTAGCAGATAATTACTATCTATTCGTATGTAAATTATTCACATGTGCGATTCCACCTGTTCTGATTGGTTATTGGCTAAATATATTAATATATATGTATTTTCTTTCTCTTAATATGGATGACTCCCGAAATCCACCCATAGGTAAATCTGACATTGCCTCGGGTACAGGTTTTGTTAACGGGTTTTTATATCTGTTTTTTTTTTCCTGGGCGGTCGATGTATTCGCGATGGGGCTATAGCATCAATAATTTCGTGTATATTTACATATGTAATGGGAATATTGTAATAAACGCGTGTGGCTCCTGGGTACTGCAACCAACGCATACCGCATTTCATGCTTGTTGTGTAATTTGTATGAATATATTTGTTGAGCAGAAAGGTTAAACCCTGTGCAGTGCGACCAGTGAGTGCCCTCTCTACACACAACTGAAGGGGAAACTGAGGCACTTTCATTTCTTAGTTTTTCTCTATGTTTTTACCATTTTTAGATTGTTGATGGACTTGATTTTGATTTTGTTGACCCGTAGACAGTTTTGATCCCTTTTGGTAAAGGCATGTCAGTGTCAAGGTCAGATCAAGTGGAACGAGCAACAAACACTTGTCAATAAAGGTAGCAACATATTCACACACCATGCCAGAATAAATACCGTTTTACATCCATCGAAACTACTCCAACTACGGATTTGAATTGACGTCGGCGGTCAAGGCAAAATGAAGAGTCAATATCCCAATAACTTCTAGTTTCACACTAAATCAGATGAGTACACAATCTTTGCATCTACCGGAACTATGCCAACAAAGCTTTATTCAGATCCACGGTAACATGCAGTCACGCGTTAACCCCATGGTCTCCATAACACGTGCATACAAAGTAAATCGGGCTCACCAAAACAATGACTCTTTATATTCGTTTGTTGCCATTTCCGTTTTCATATAAAAGCTAGAATTCAATGTTGATATACTTTTCATGTTATATTACATTTTCATCATAAATCACTATTGCTGATTTCCAGCGCTATAAATAGTACTCACGAAGAACGTATTTTAGTGCGCATGCGCCAATGAATACTTTAAAGAAAACCAATATCGTCATCATAGTAGTACGTATTTTGCCGGTATTTTGTGGGTCGTAAACTAGCGAGCATCTTTGTTAGGTAACGTAAGTGAATGAATGGAAACGATGAATGGAAACAAGTTATTCCACACTGTAGATTAGTGTATTGTGATGAAGCCAAAAGTCATCACTACTCTTCTGCACCTCAATCATTCGTGGTTGCGTAGAAACGATCTATAATGTCTTTGTTCGACAGTCCAGGATTCAATAATGTCTAATTATTTCACAATCGTGATTTTACAAGTCTTGCCTATTGAACAGGGATTCTGATTTTTGTTGTTCCAAACGCATGCGTTATTCTGGACGTATGATGTCCATTTGCCATGATTGTCGATGTGAGTCTTCTATACAATCATCATGCAAAAAGCAGTCAGGCGTGGAACACCAGTAACAAAACCTCTTCCGATAAAGTTGACAAAACAACGAAATTAACTTTCTGTAAATAAAGAACGCGTATAAGCTGGTAGTCGGAGATGACCATTTACTTCACAAAGTGAATAGTTATTCTTTTTCGCATTTACTTTGAAATCGATAAAGTTGTGTAAATAGGACGATTAAGTCACATAGTGTACTGAGTAGAAACCAAATAGTACTATGCGTAAATATACTGCTGTGACGGCTCAAACGAGTGTGATCGCGTTTACGTATGATGTCTCCCATAGACGGTTCGATAAACGAGAGAGAGAGAAAAAAAAACATACATTTTTACACAAAGTGTTTACGCTGTACCCTTTCTTGCTTATATGGTATCAGTAAAACAACTACATTGTCGTTACAAAAAGTCACGGTCATTTTTTTGTAAATTTGATGAAAAAAGTTGTTTTTCGCCCAAATAGAAATCTGTGCGTTCGCATAAAACGTAATATGTCCAGCTGATGTTAAGTTTGGATGAAACAATTTTGTCTGACCATACCCATAATTCAACAGTGTTTTTTGCGAAGAGTGCTGTTAGCTTTACAGGGGCTGACCATGCCCATTTGATATGACATTCTGCTGTTACTAGTACGGAGCCAGCAGATTAATTATACGCTCGGATTCGGTTACTTCCACGGAAGCAAAAAAATACGTTGATGGACTAAATATGTCGAATAGTGAAGAAAAGTAGACGAAACAATGCGGCGGAAAAATAACATTTTGTTGCAGTATTCGATCATTAAGTTCTCATATTGAGATTTACTCACTTACCTATAGCTGTGCCAACGATGAACTTCTCTCGGGAGATCTCGCATGTGACTGGAAGACTGATACCCAAGAGGCGTTATTTTTATCATGGGCACTGCCCTGTATGGAACAATCCACTATCAATGCAGGGGTGGTGAATTATGTCCAATACCTCATGGACAAAATCAGTTGAAACCGTTTATGACTTGAATTATCATAATATTGAAAACTCACCGATTGTTTCTGATCACGTGATTGACTGAGACGTCGGTGTGTGTTTTGTGCATTCATTCTATCAGTGACGAGCGTAACTCGGGTTTCCACACATAACAGAAGACGAGTAGACAGCAAGAGAGTCAGCAACCCCTGAATTTTAGAGATATTTTTTTAAAAGCACCGCATATTACGCAATTCTTCACAAATCTAAAAGCTATTATTCTTAATGCACCAATGAAACCTTCTAGCTACAAACCTGGATATACATCGAAATAAACACTTCATGTGCAGTTATAGATCCATTAAATGTTGTGCCAACTTTATCATAGCTGATATTTACTCGCTGCTATAGAATTTAGACTAGCCCTCTCGGTTTTGTAATTTGTAGTGGCTTTAATCTTGAACGAGACCAAAGAAACCGATTTAAAAATCGTTATGGCAGTAACACTTGTAACACAGGAATGGTGGTGTATTCATAAAACGCCCATTATGTATTATTACTTCCAAGGCTAACTACATAGGAAAAGTTACAAGTAACTTCGAATGTTTCAGTGTTTTGGAGACAGTATACTGGTATGTGCTCCTCGTGAGGCTCAGTTTTAAACCAACAACGAAATAAACTGGCTCCATTTCTATCCTATTTCAATCCCCATTCACATCTCCATCCCCATCATCTTTCCCATTCCCATTCCAATCTCAGAGTGCTCTTCTGGTTTAAGTGCGGATGCGATAATTCACGGCTCAACAGTTTACTTTGGCCATAATCAAGTATGGAATAATGACTCCCATCTTATGAGATAGGGGTGTAAGAGTTACATTCTCACTTTACAATATCTGTAGAAAACTCCTTAATGACCCCCTGACCCCTGTAATCATTCCTAGGTTGTATGAACGGTAAAAGAACTGACCTCTTGTAAAGTCTTTGCATTTTGCAACAATCCAACAAAATTTTGAAATCAAATTTAACGAACTCCAGTGCTGGCCAACTTCAGTATTCCAATATTTCAAGATTTTTTGCTATGCCAACTGAATTATCATTTTTTATAGTGATATTAGTTTGAAGTATTCTACATATAACTAAAAGTGGGAATGCATCTTTAAAAATCAATGGGATAATTAAATTAAATTAAATTAAATTGATTCCTGGCAATGCCCGGATAATGTATGTAGGAGAACATAGGTCAAGAGTAGCGTAGTGGTTATTGCATCGGACTCGCGACCGGAAGAACCAAGTTAACATAGATACGCGGTTGACCACATCCGAGAGTGTGTGTACCATAGACTCACTCAATGGAGAAACCTGGTTGTCATTCTTTCCCTGGTGGGGCGAACTAGGGAGAACCCGTATAAGCGCCACAGGTGTTTGTGTTTGCACTTGTAATTTGCACATAGACAAAGCCAACACTGAAATTCAATATCGTGAACAGTCGCCTGCCTTAAAACATATTCAAACATGAAAGCCAATGAAGATTGTTCACATATAACGATAAGTATGGGAACTGGGTCATTTCGGTGATCAGCCGAACCTTCTGTCTCACTGCAACGTGTTCTATATGCAATACATTATAGTCCCAAAGCAGTAAAAATAACAACAATTGCCACCAATGAATGATTCTAAGGATTTCAAATTGCCATATCCGTTAAAGGGCGTGGGAATATGGCGTTGTTTTTCTACCGTGTCGCCGTCACGGTCGTCGATGTCAAGAACATGTGAATAATATCTAATATATATGCATTATCAAACAGTAAACATCAATTTCAAGGAGTTTCGTTTAGACATTATGGCTTAAAACAGCCATGGTTTCACTGAAGCATATATTTATAACATATTTACTGTTAATTATTAATTTGCAAAAAAACAGTCTAAAATAACGTCGACGATAACGGCCGTTAAGATCCCTCGAATAGTTTTTAAATCAATGTTTTTGTGCCAGGCGACAGTTGTAGACATTGAGTGTCACTGTTGTCTATCCTGACTTTTCTGGTGCAAATTGTAAGTGCTGGTGCTGACACAAAGTGCATTTTGCCACAGAAGTCATATTCATGTTTGGGACTACATGACATGGCTGTGTGGCCATCTCTCTATCAAATGTCAATTTTAATGCGCTATCCTGGCGAACACGAGCACCTGCGGACCTTAACCAAGGTTCCCTCAATGTCACATTCGATAGTGAATGAATCTCGGCTAGTGGAATTGGCCTACCGACCATGGGCATTGAGTCTGTGGCACACTCACCCAGGATAGGGGTTGAACCTTTTGATGTTCAGCCTAAGGTAGGAGTTGAACTTGGGTCTACCGATCATGAGTCTGATGCGACAATCACTATGCAACCAGTGACCCTGATCCCTCGAATAGTGTTCCAATTTTTTTTCTGACATCGGCCCGGGCGCCTTCATTGTTTTATTGATTTGTGCAACCATGAACCCACGTGCAGAGAGTTGACAGTTCATTTACTGCTCAAGAGTCAAGACTGGCTTGAATTGCAACTAAAACATCATATGGTGTGTAGCCTGAGTAGTATGTACGTTTATTGTACGTGCATTTAATAAGCTAACGAAGTCGTGTTGAGTCCCGAACTTAGAGAAGAAAGCCAGTCACCTTCTAGTGATCCCAGAGGCGGCGACACGAAATTTAGGGAGGGGGCGAGATCTACCCAATTATAAAAATCAAGATCCTCTGAAACGCTATTTCCTGCATTGTGAGAGGCAAATTTTCGAGGGGCGACCACCCCCTCTGCCCCCCGTCAGTCACTGATTGAATTTACCGACTAATCGATTGACTGTTTAACTGACGTGTTTGAACAGTTCTGTGCGCGAACTTTTTAAATGTGACAACAAGTCGCCCTAAGATGGCGTGGAACTAACTATGTGGTTACCATTACACTTTGTAAGTCAAAAAAGCATTGAGAAAAATTTAGATTTGTTTTGCTGAGGGGGGGGTGACGGTATATTGACTCGCCTAACCTGTTCAGCACACACGCAGTGGAAAGGTATTTAGATAGCCAGTCTATAAATGTTCTTGGATATTTACAAAATGTTCACGACTGACTTTCCCTCTTATTCCACAGTGGAGTGTATTAATGCATGTAAACTGTCAAGTAATGGTATTATGTTATAATTTCACGACAGAAACAGAACACTGGATCGGATGTCATCAGTTTAGATGCTACAAGATATATTTAACAAAAATTAAATAATTCAAATCAACGCATCACTTAAATAATAGTCATAAACATTAACGTGCCAATGAACGAACTTATCATGGTTACACAGATAATACCTCGACCACCTGTTTGATTTGTTACTTGTATATTTGTTACTGTATTTTTTATTCGGTTTCACATTATATAAGTATAACTGGGAGCATTTTAAGAAACTCAGACCGCGATATTTCATTACTATAATATATATCGTTTTGTTTTTCAGTCAACCAAATAAGAATGGTCAAAGTGCCAGTATTTATCAAAAAAGTTTAAAAAAATTTTGCGAAGTAATTATCATCATTATAAATACATAATTGAAATCAACAAAAAAACCTTGTTGTGTTCTATCATAATGATACATGTGTATCATCCATATATGGCAGTTTTTTGCCCTACGCCTGCCGAAAGAATCCTGGAAGATGGATTTATACAGCTCTACAACGACCAAGGTCGCAGATCCTGCGCGTTACAGTGTATTTGCATTGTTGCTTGAACCACTCTGTATACTCAGAAATTTAGTCTATACATTCTTTACATGTGTGTTTTACAATTTGTTTGTCATGACCGCTAGGTAAATACGGGTGTGATTCTCATCTTAAACTTAGATTGTTAATAAACGATGATTCAAACTTCGCGTCGTTGTAATATTGATTTGAAATGACTCTCCAGTCTTTACATGTACGGATGCAGTGACTGTGTGTTTTATAAATATCTACGAGAATGAAAACAGACGCTGCTGACAGTCACGGTCTAGCTGACAAGGCAGTTTGTGGCCTTTTCAGAATTTGTCAAAAAACAATCACAAGACTAGTTACGAGCCAGTTGAGCGAGGCTAACATAGTCGTAACCTCGGTGTGGTTAGTAACCAGTATTATGATTGATTGTTGACAAATTTTGAACAGGCCATGCCTCCAACTGTGCCGTGCGTTCGGGCAAACCGTTAAGTATTTCTAAATTGAGTCAATTTGTGTAGTTTTCTTGATTTATTCTGCAGATATCGGTAAAATATGGGTAAGGCTTTGGCGAAATTTGAAAGAGCAACTAATATTTTTCAACATGGTATTTTTTTTTTTAGATTTTATTTTTCATTCTTTTTGTCTGTTTTTTGCGGGTTTAAAAAATGTGAGCTGGCTGGAGCCTTCATCCCTTGTCTATTTCTTACACTAGATACCAGCCGATACCACCCCCCCCCCCCCGCTCATAGGGACTGCGTACAGTTTATCATAGTTCCTGGGCTCCCTGTGCGTACATTCTCGTTATTTCGCAAATGCTGCTATATATGGACATCCGGCATATTATCATTTGCTGACGTTTTAATGAGTCCAGTCAGCGAGAAGACGTTCAAGATCATCCTTAATTTGTTTTCCGTATCATCTGTCTGTACGATTTGAATATTTTTGGGAGAGAAATACATGTATATCGGATATTGACTGAAGATATCAATTGCTTTTGTTTTTAATTCACTACTTTATTACATAACAACCAACAATTAATTACTAGTACATTAAAACTACGTAGATTATAATTCTGATAACAACATTGGCGGTATCGAGTTATTTTGTTTGCGGCGGCTCCCTGAGTAAAACGAATACATCGCCACGTTCTAATGTACAATGTACGGGCATCGGTGAGGGCGCAAAGTGTGGCATATTCATTTGGATAGGTCACCCCCTAACAGCATTAGAAACTAAGTTTTGATGGTATAAATGGTGGCTCCTTTAATCTTTAATGCGGCCTTTGGAGTTACTCGCCAAATAAGAACCACAATACGCGTCCTCTACGATGAAACCCGTACAACTTGTGAAGGGAATTTGGATTCGTGAAATCTTGTTCGGTTAATGATAACGAGTATATATATATATTTTTTTATTTGTTTGTCGTGGGTTATTCTTTCTTTGTCAATTACTTTAACTGAACGAAAAGTCAGATGAGAAAAATATCAGATATTGATTTGTAGAGTGTGGAATCTTTGTTTACGAATATGGGGTGTAATACAAATATTGTGATGAATGTAAGACTATGAAAATATTTACGTATGTGCGTTGATAGAGGGCGTTTCGGGTACATATCAACCATAATCACGTATCTGTTACTCTGAAATTAGATTATACACATCAATTCCAGTTTCCTCAAGTACGATTTCACGTACCCAGGGCAGGAAGGTGCTTATCTTGCTGTATACCTGCGGGTAGCCAGGAGTACGACATTCTTCGCCGGCTTTTCCTTCGTCTGCGCCGAAGCTGTACAGACCCGCTAGTGTGAACCGCCCGGCATAATCCCCGCAAACCAACGGTGAGCCGTAATCTTGCTGTAATACAAAGCATATCGAGTTTAATTGAGTTTTGAAAGCCTTATTTTTCTTCACATTTGAATTTATTTACCTATTATTTATTCGTAATGTAATTTCTTGATCAATGGATATGCGTTTATTTTAGGAGTGCTCTCTGTCCAATGAGTGGCAGGGATATCGGGTGATGTCATGGGGATGTTGACGTCAGTGGAGATGTAATGTCAGGGTGACGACATTAGGATACTAATATGAATCTAATTAGAATGTAATATGAATATAGCTCCTATAAATTGAAATTAATTTGAACATCAATAATGTAGATATTTAATAAAATGGCATATGAAATATGGATGATGATTTGTAAGAATTAAAAGTTTGTTTTCGTTTGAAACACAAAAAGTTTCTATTTTTTTCATATCTTCATAAAACCCACCAATCCATAGAATTGAATTTACAGGTAATTTTGCTTTACTCCGAACACAGTTCAATATTGGTGGGAACAACCATAACACAATCTAGAACCAGTTTCCATAACAATTTTTACGGCGTCGTAGAAAAACATCGCGATTTTACGATGAAGTTAAAGACATATTCTGCCGTCAATCTCATGTGAACATATATGAACTAATCTTGTATGTCTGACATGAGTCAAATACTCATTAACAGTGTGTATGCGCTGTTATTTACAGTGACGTCATACTCACAGGGCAAGCGTCGTTGTCGCCATTGATGTGACCCGCACAAAACATGTTGTCGGTGACGTCACTGCTATCCCAGTAAGACAGGTCACGGCATTCTTTTGTTACAATCGTTGGCGATTCTGAGTGCTGTAAGTCTATTGATCCACCAGCTAGGTGAGTAAAAAAGAACAAAAACAAATTAATAGAAGTTATTCTTTCTTTTCTTCCAAATATTTTTTTATAGTCTCCCATTGATCGAGAGCTTGTGGTTGTAAATACAAATTTTCTTTCAATCACGCCATGTGACGTCAAATGACGTGATGGGTGTAATCATTGACGTCCATAATGCCCGCCCCCCCCCACTCCCTATATTTAGGGGGGCCTATGCTTGTTCCCTCATTTTTTTGACCCCACCCCCGTATCTAGGGAAAAGAAGAAAATTTAACCCCCCCCCCCTTTCACGGGCTTTTCCGATGAATTTCACCCCCTATCTAGGGAACTTTTCAGTCAAGAACTCCTTTTAAACCCCCTTTTTTGTATATATCGGGAAGTGTTTTGAAATACACCCCCTATTTTGAGAATCTCGGGAAAACAAGCAAAAAATACCCCCTTTTCTACGATTTTCTCGGGAAAATGTTCCCGAGACAGATCGTCAAAAAGTACCCCTTTTCCCGAGAAAATGGGAACGCGCATGCGGCCCCCTATGGATCCTGAGTGGGGGGGCCGGGCCATAATGTAATCGATAAGATGAACACCAACAGCTTTGCTTAGTCGTCCATTATTAAGAATATAACAAGTCTCGAAAATACAAAATTGTTTCATCATTGACGGACGATTACAGAACAAAATACAACGCTGTGTATGACGTCACTTAAACCCGTTACTGTCGCTAGATGGCGCCACATATGAATTGTGTTTTTGGAATTTGAATCCAGCCCACACCTACGTCCAAACTTAATTCTTTTAAGTTAACCAACTCAATGCGAACATTATTGTGAGCAGACTGAATACAAGCAAGGAACTTTTGTTAATATTTATTTATTGTATCAATGAACGTTGTTTTGTCCAATCCCCTTGCTCAAGTTGTTGGGCATCCACTGTTCAGTCACCATTGAGGGCAGCAGACGAAATTTACTGACAATACATGTACTGCGGAAATGAGTTTCATTCAAGTGATCAATTCGATTGAAATCGATCCATTATTCCGAGTTTAATCTTACCATATATCGAAAACTGATTCATATAGATAAAATCGGTGCACACGCACTATGGTATAGGCATAGATCCATTTAAAAACTTCAAAGTGATCAACAATAACCATAAATCGAGCCAGAAACACAACTTTTTAAGTAAAAGCAACTTCGTCATGTAAAATTTGATCAAAAAACTACTACTATACGTGTCACCCTGCTATATGAATACGTTGTCGCATACGACTTATTTACCACTTCCGTGTCACTGAGAATGTTCTAGAACCGTACTGTGTCTGGGTGGAATATTCTAGATTTTTTTAGAAACTGGTTGAATAGGTAATAGAACACTGTAGGAGGCAATAGAAGGTAAGGGAACATTCTAGAAATTTGTAGTAATTTCCAAACTCATTATGTATGCTGATGTAATGGTCTATTTATAGACAGTGGGGTATATATAGGGGAGTTGTTCAGCACTGAGTTCAGATCGGAGATCTCGTTGAATTGTATTGGAGTTTAAGTATCTAGTCATTGGAGTAGTGGAGTTTTACCGCGTTATTGTACTTGATGTTTGCAGAGTATAATAATACCCTTACCAGTTGAAACCTCATCTGTTGGCTCCGTGTTCGTATTTTATCATCGCCGCCAGGGAAGTCGTTCTGTTACTGTTGCCATTTTGGTATTTGAACCATCACACCTGTACTATACCAATTACGGTAAGATTATGTTGCGTGTGACATACGTACATCGTAGTTTAAATGAAAGTCGTGAAATCATAACAAATTCTTAAGAATTCGTGTTAGAACGATATTAAGGCTGATTTGAAGTTTTACGAGAATGGGATGTTAGCTCGTAATGCCCATGTTTGAATCAATTATATCCGAAATTGGTAATTGGGATTGTTATCATTGTTGCAAGTCACAATATTAAATACACATTAGTGTTACCCCGTTACAATTGAAACGACTAATTTTGCCAAAATGAATTTTAATACAACAGTGGCTTGTACTATTTTTTTATTACTTTTGTCGTTTTTTCAGATGTTGATGAAACAAACACTGATAGTAGTTTTACTGGCCGTTAATTTTATTCAGCTGAGACACCCCTAGTACTGTTAAAGCGTGGTTGTTACAACCCATGTATTATATCATAGGTGCTGTATAATAGATATATTGTTGCATGTCACGTGGTGTCAGTGTTGCTTGAATACTCACCAAATACAGTGCCCCAGCCTGTGACAAAACAAGTCGACTGCGAATCAAATGGTTTCGATCCATCCCAATTTATACAGACACGATCTTTTTGATCGTCAAACATCACAATACCAGGGAGATATATGAGGGCCATGTCGTTATCGAAGGTGTTGTCATCGTAATCTTCCCGTATGTATATCTTCAAGGGTGTTTTCACAATAGCGCCCTCATCCGGCTTATCGGAGAGAGTCTTCTGTCCGATAAAAATTCGGACGCTCTCAGTAGTGTAGCTACGAATTAACAAATAATTTCAGATGTATTATTTTCGGTTTTATTTTGGAGTGAATTACATAATTCTTGACCAGTGGTGGCGCTCTTTAATCACATACAACAACTTTTTTTGTCATGCATTCCTCTGAAACCTCTCTTTATCCTTGGGGGATCTGAGGATGGTTGGGGGGGGGTATTAGCAATACGTCTAACGCACATTTATAGATGCAATATGCGCAAAAACATATACTTCTATTAGCGTTAACTGATACTGTAAAATGTTACTATTTATTGTTATTTTGGTCATACTCAATAGACTTTAAATCCACGAATTTGACAATGAAACAATCATGGATTCTATTGTAATTTTATGGTTCCAAGTAGATTTAATTTCACTTATTAGCAAAATTAATTTAATAAATAAATAAACTTACTCTTTGCCTTTAAAACACCTGGCTGAGGTGATCGCAAACATTGGACCAATCAGAACGCCGCTGCATATATAGCAGTCGTTCAAGTCGTTTGGTGAACACACTCTGATCTGTACATGCCAAGGCCAATTACCGTGGATGACATCATGTATATCCACATTATCGCCGTTTTCATGGTGACGATATCCACAGACATAATCAGTTGGTCCAAAATTAGCTATGTAAAATATAAAAAAAAGTATTAAGTGCCACCATTTTCCCGCCCATGATTTCATTTAAAGTGTGACACATAATTGCTATGGTAACAACAAAGTTGCTGGATTAAACAAATTGTGTGAGTAAACAATGCATCAATATTTGAAAGTAATTGTCGTCATTCAAAATTCTTTGAAAGACTTTTTGTTTACGATTTAAAACACATTACAGCCTTAAAAAATTACTTGCACATATCCTTAAAAAAGTTATTCATAATGACTCTCTAAAAAATAATAAAATATTAAAGCGCCACCACAGCTGACGTTCTACGCTACAGTCGTTTTTAAAAAATGTTGTATACGCCGCGTGGGATCAATGCCACATGGAATAAATCCGAAGAGTCGCCACTACCATCGCCCTTTGTCACTCACGAGTCAGCAATGTTACCATACCTAGCTCGTCATATATTGCTTGTATTTCGGGGCCAATTGCACTTTCTCTCTCCATTCCATTATTTTCCTTCACATGATGTCTATTTTCAATTATTTTGTTCTTCGAGGATGTTTTCAATTTTGTTTCCCCTCTCCGTTCAAGCTCTTCCAACAATTCGTCGATATACTGCAAGGAAAATGAAGAATTTAGTCAGACCCCAGATTATAAACAAATTTTCAAAATATTTTCACTTTTCTGACGTCATAACGTACCAATGATGCGCAAAGTTGTTCAAAGAATTGCGTTCAGTTGTGTAATTAATTCGAAGGTAACTAATTTAAATGGATTTAAATGTTGGAAAATAATCCGATAATTTGTCAGAACTGAAGGCTCTCGATTGGCGGTGATCGAAGTGTTATTTCACAGAATGAAGGTGCGTGTGTACATCTAAACGTTTTTTTTATATTTTTTGACAGCGCTTTGGTACACATAAACGAATGTCTCCTTTAAACTAAATAACTGCTTCTTGGAAGTATAGCTGGTATCTGAACACCCAACTCCCACACCTTTCTTATTTGCGTGAATCTAGCAGCGCTGGCAACGGTCAAGTGTTAAGTCTGATCTAACCAAAACATCTGAGCCGAAACTTTCGAGTTAAAACTATGTGTGTACAAGTTGTTTGTCGGGAAGTGTGTAGAGCTGGGTCATTTGTGATTATAGTGAAATGAGTCAGATATTAAAGGTTATTATTTTTAAAGTTATTGATTGACAATTACAAAGACAATCAATCCATAATGCGAGCGCCAGATAATCGCGTTGTTCAATCGTGTATTGTAAATTTAGTGTCTAGTATTATGGAGATGAACCAAAATGTTCACGCACACGTTGTATGTGTTAGACGGGGCTTTGTCATAGAAGCCATATTCCATATTTGATACTACGTGTTACCACGGGGATCATTTATTTTAACATGAATGCGCATGCGTGTGTACATTCAACGTATACTAGATAATAAACACGTGTATCTCTACATTGCCGATCGTAATGAATGAAGATATTTTAATAATAATGTTCTTATTAGCTTCAACAACAAAAGTCACATTACAAATTGATTCGGTCGTTTGGATTAAGCAATGAAAAAATGTATCACACACGCGCGCTGATTATTTTGGCAAATACAGTATTTAAGCACTGGTTGGTTGGGGAAACGGCTCACACCATACAAACAAATGACAATAAAAAAATTAACCAGTAAATGGATCTACATTTTCCGCAAATTTGCAAAAAGCTCCATATTTTGTCTGTTTCGAAAGTGAGGTACTGGTGGCACACAATATCAAATTATTCTAGGTACGTACCTTAATATCATCATCCTTGGGGATATTCTTGGCATGGATCTGATACATCCAGAGACAAACCAGAAAGAAAATAACCACGTTCCTCATATTGCCTGATATAGAAAAAAAAATGTATTATAGTTATGCTAATATAGTATCCTTGAGAGTCTGACTGTTCATTATTAGCTGTGCCTTCTTGCGACGAAACAGTGCCCTCTTGCGGCGAAGCAGTGCCCTCTTGCGACAAAGCAGTGCCCTCTTGCGACAAAGCAGTGCCCACTTGCTACGAAGCAGTGCCCTCTTGCGATGAAGCAGTGCCCTCATGCGACAAAGCAGTGCCCACTTGCGACAAAGCAGTGCCCACTTGCGACAAAGCAGTGTCCTCTTGCGACGAAGCAGTGCCCACTTGCTACGAAGCAGTGCCCTCTTGCGACGAAGCAGTGCCCTCTTGCGACGAAGCAGTGCCCACTTGCTACGAAGCAGTGCCCTCTTGCGGCGAAGCAGTGGCATCTTGTGACGAAGCAGTGCCCTCTTGCTACGAAGCAGTGCCCACTTGCGACAAAGCAGTGCCCACTTGCGACAAAGCAGTGTCCTCTTGCGACGAAGCAGTGCCCACTTGCTACGAAGCAGTGCCCTCTTGCGACGAAGCAGTGCCCACTTGCTACGAAGCAGTGCCCACTTGCTACGAAGCAGTGCCCTCTTGCGACAAAGCAGTGCCCTCTTGCGACGAAGCAGTGCCCACTTGCTATGAAGCAGTGCCCTCTTGCGACAAAGCAGTGCCCACTTGCGACGAAGCAGTGCCCTCTTGCGACGAAGCAGTGCCCTCGTGCGGCGAAGCAGTGGCATCTTGTGACGAAGCAGTGCCCTCTTGCTACGAAGCAGTGCCCTCTTGCTACGAAGCAGTGCCCTCTTGTGACAAAGCAGTGCCCACTTGTGACAAAGCAGTGCCCACTTGCGACGAAGCAGTGCCCTCTTGCGACGAAGCAGTGCCCTCTTGCGGCGAAGCAGTGGCATCTTGTGACGAAGCAGTGCCCTCTTGCTACGAAGCAGTGCCCTCTTGCGACAAAGCAGTGCCCACTTGCTACGAAGCAGTGCCCTCTTGCAGCGAAGCAGTGCCCACTTGCTACGAAGCAGTGCCCTCTTGCTATGAAGCAGTGCCCTCTTGCGGCGAAGCAGTGCCCTCTTGCTACGAAGCAGTGCCCTCTTGCGATGAAGCAGTGCCCTCTTGCGACAAAGCAGTGCCCACTTGCGACAAAGCAGTGCCCACTTGCGACAAAGCAGTGCCCACTTGCGACAAAGCAGTGCCCTCTTGCGACGAAGCAGTGCCCACTTGCTACGAAGCAGTGCCCTCTTGCGACGAAGCAGTGCCCTCTTGCGACGAAGCAGTGCCCACTTGCTACGAAGCAGTGCCCTCTTGCGACAAAGCAGTGCCCACTTGCGACGAAGCAGTGCCCTCTTGCGACGAAGCAGTGCCCTCTTGCGGCGAAGCAGTGGCATCTTGTGACGAAGCAGTGCCCTCTTGCTACGAAGCAGTGCCCTCTTGCTACGAAGCAGTGCCCTCTTGCTACGAAGCAGTGCCCTCTTGTGACAAAGCAGTGCCCACTTGCGACAAAGCAGTGCCCTCTTGCGACGAAGCAGTGCCCTCTTGCGGCGAAGCAGTGGCATCTTGTGACGAAGCAGTGCCCTCTTGCTACGAAGCAGTGCCCTCTTGCGACAAAGCAGTGCCCACTTGCTACGAAGCAGTGCCCTCTTGCAGCGAAGCAGTGCCCTCTTGCTACGAAGCAGTGCCCTCTTGCTACGAAGCAGTGCCCTCTTGCTATGAAGCAGTGCCCTCTTGCGGCGAAGCAGTGCCCTCTTGCTACGAAGCAGTGCCCTCTTGCGGCAAAGCAGTGCCCACTTGCTACGAAGCAGTGCCCTCTTGCGGCGAAGCAGTGCCCTCTTGCGGCGAAGCAGTGCCCACTTGCTACGAAGCAGTGCCCTCTTGCGACAAAGCAGTGCCCTCTTGCGACGAAGCAGTGCCCTCTTGCGGCGAAGCTGTGGAATCTTGTGACGAAGCAGTGCCCTCTTGCGACAAAGCAGTGTCCACTTGCTACAAAGCAGTGCCCTCTTGCGACAAAGCAGTGCCCA